ATTGCTTCTGCATAATCACTGTCCTGAAAGTGCTCATTCGTGAAATGGCTAGGCGCTTTTTGCTTTGCAAACAGCACGCATTCGTCTTTTCCGAAGCATTTACTCAAGTTGGAGGAGACTCACTTGGTAAGAACGGCGAATTCTCAAGCAAGGGGGCCAGGGGCACTAATTTGGTTATGTGTATTAATATGTTTGTAAGCATTTTCCCTTTCCTTTCACAGTTCCGGCTTTCCATGTACTTCCTGCTCTAGCATCTAGTTGCCTGTTTCTTCGTAAGCTCACCTTCACCATTCTTTATCAACCCGTGGGCGACTTGACGACACCCGCCGCTTGATGGCACGGCAATGGCGAAAAGGCCCCACCGCTCCAAGCATTTACTGTCAATTACAACTGTTCGGTTCAGTAAACCAACATATAATACAAACGGTTGACCTCAAGTGTGCTGCTGCTGCATCTTGCCTGATGGCTTCTGTGGCGCTAGTGCACCACTGACGACACTGATGCAATCCTCATACCTTATTTATCCACTCCGCCTTATATAGGCAACATGTAGGGGAAGCAGATTCAGTTTAAACTCTTGTATTCTGATAACAAATTCGTATCTACTTCAGGAAGCAAAATCGCTAAAACGAGATGGGAAAACGTCTGGGTTTCGAATATTTTTGCACCATTCTATCGATCTCTCCTATTAAGTTTATTATATCATCAAGAAACCAGCTAGCTGTGACCGTTTCGCATCCAGTATCTACTGTCACCTCTACAAGCCCGGCAATTAAAACTGCTGAGCAGTTGCCTGTATCACCAGCTTGAGTTCTCAGTCCGGAGCGTTCAGTGTCACTGATTGCAACTGGTGCGGTAATTCGTATTTGCCTGTTTCGGCTACCCTGCATTAGTGTACTGAGTCATCCAGTACAGAAGCTCGGACTGGGTCTAAGTGCTACCACTTGCACGTTAAGGATATAATATTATGTGTCAGTGATGCAAGATCAGGTAGTACGACTGTGTTGAGGGTAGAATGCGCTTGATGCTGGTGTCTTGTTAATGGTTCACTCGCTTACACAAGGTAAATGTATATGTGCAAACAGTTGCTGAATGAGGTGTAAAGTAGCGAGGACCGGAAGAGTAGAGAGGAAGGCGGAAATCAAGATGACGACCGGAATGAAAGGGCCTGGGCTACGGACTGGTGTGTTTCAAGCGTACCGAGCTCCC